CCCAAAATGTAGCCCATGTAAATCTTAAGAACTATTCTTAAGATTTACATGGGCTACATTTTGGGGTTGAAATGAATTAAAAAAGAAGTAGTATTTTTATATTCTAATGAGTGTTACAGTTTGCACCGAATATTGTGCAGTCTACGGGATTGGAGTTTGATGCTGAGGGTTTAGTAGACAGTGTGGTGTTTTGCTAGTCGCTCTCGAATGGAAGACACATTATTTGCCACTGGTGCCGTCCACCATTTGATGTGAGTAACTTCATCTTAAACATTGCTTCAAAGAAAATGTTTTGTAGTGACAGATGGTTAACTTTTTAATTGGTTGAGAAAAATGCCTGTTATTTAGGTTTAGAGAAATGTATCGTTTAAAGAAATTACAAAGTTTTACTTGTATTTTTAAGTACAATTAGGTTGTACAGTGAGCATGGATATTTACAAAGGAATATTTAAGCTATTAAAGTTGGTGAACTAAATTTAAAAAAATAACTCCAATTAAATTTTCTACTAAATAGCTTATCCTAATTTTTATAATCATTGTCAGATTTAACATCTTTAAGGGCCTTGGGTAATTTAATATATAATTTAACTCCGTTATACATCAGATTTTTATTTCCATATAGAGAGGAATAGAGTAAATTGTTTTAGTCGGTGTTAGGTAATTATAATGAAATAAAGACTATTATAACTTTATTTTGTGAAGTTTGAAGACCTTTCGGACGTCGCTGCATTACTTCAAACTTCTACTAAATCATTTGAATGTGGCTCTTTTAAAGAGTTGTGGATATTGAAACGGACTTGTTTAAGTAGACAGTTTACTACTTTACACAGTTTACACAGTGAAGTTTGGTTGATTAATAGTAAATCTATATTGAAATCTTCAAATATAATAGACCTATTGTGTTGTTCAAGTTGTTTCTCAAATGTATTAATAAATTCTTTAAAATTCGTTCCTCCCGGTTTGTATATAAGTCCAACATTAAGAGATAATTTGTTGACCAATATCCAAAGGTAGTTGTTACCGCCTGTGTAGTAATTTTCAGTCATGATGTGCTCTTATTTACGGCTTAGATTTCCATTGACTCCCGTCGAGTTGGGGGTTGATACGTATTTTTACAGAAAAGTTACAGTATTATAAGCACACACACAAAGTTACAACATCTAACTTTTTCGGAAAGAATCGACATCCCTACTGACGACAATGACATTACAAAATGGCGTCAGTTTTATGGTAGGATTAGATATAAACAATGCAAGAATAATTGATTTTCAATAACTTTTTTCTCAAAAATTACACGCTTCCGCATGTTGTAACTTTGTGTGTGTGTGTTTATAATAGTGTAACTTTTCTGTAAAAATACGTATCATCCCCCAACTCGATGGGAGTCAATGGAAAGTCGTACCCTTATTACAAGTGTCAGATCTTAAGTTGTAGTAATAATTATATCCAGTCATTTGTAACAGCTTCGCGTCATTATCCGACTATGTTCACGTTACAGTTAGGAATGTCAAATGTGTAGTTTTCGGAATAGATTTTATAATACATTGTAGATCATTAAATTTTCCAGGTGCAACTATACTTCGTACGTTAGCAGAAAAAGGTGAGTGAATGTAAACTCGGAGATATTTTTTAATAATTACCTAGTCTAGCATATTTAATATTGCTATGTCTATTTACAACAACATTGTTGTCCTAAGGTGAGTTTAATTTTTTGGCTGTTGCATGGTTATTTTTATTTTTCAGTGTGCTTTGATAGTATATTTTCTTCACCACACTGTGTAGTTAGGCCGGTCATGAGTTATATCTGTATATATTTTATATTATTTTTATATTGTCCCTCTTACGTAGTAACTTCATAACAGTCTGTTCGGATTCAAAACATGCCTTTATTGGGCGATTTTTCTCTGTATTTGCTATTCTGAAAGTTTTAAGAGAAAGCCCCTTAAAACTTTTGTTAATCAATTTAAGAACTTCACTCATATCAAAGTTGGACATTTTGGTTTTATTTCGCTTGTAAGTTCAGGTATTCCTAAGATAATTATGTTTGTAACTGTAACGAAAATGAATGTACTCTACTAGTAGTGTTTATGTTATTTTCAAGAAATTTTATATTATTTTAGTTTATAGTACACAGAGTTTTTAGGTGGTCCAATTCAAAGTTCCATTTTATACTGTTTCTCGATCACTCTATCTGTACATGCCCTAATAACATTTAGTTGTTAATTAATTTCTTGTTGCAATTTTCCCTTATTTTATTTTGGAAGTTCGGCTCTGGCTTTTTGTAATTTCTGGTATTGACTTGAGGTTTATCCGTTAAAAATTTTTCATCTCCTAACTTAGATAAGTCCGGCTGAGATCCACCACAGGTCATCTTTGGAAAACACTGTTGATATTTATGACACGAATGATAAAAAAAGAAAAAAAATGATATTCTGCAACTTAAGGTGTAGGTAATATAGTTTGCGTTTCTCTTCGTAGTCCGTTTGATAAAACTGGTGCAAATTAACACGATGAACTGATCTTTAGTTCTCCAAGAAGCTAAGTTGTAAACAACACGGCAACGTAGGGTTCCGGCTTGATTTATGTTCAATAGTCTGTCTTCATCACTTGCACGCTGACATCCGAGCCATACCTTAAAATTTGGAGAAGGGGTGACTTAATTACACGAGGAATGCCGTGTGAACCTATTTAATACGCTTCGAAGGAGAAGCGTGTGGAAGATAGCAATATTGCGAGACTACAGGCAAACAAAATGTAGGTGCGTAATTGTTTATATTTATTTAATCTGTCTGTGGCTTTGGGCCTTTTGTCTGTAATACAAATTCTGTCTGTTCTTTTCCGTCTGTTCTGTATAGGGTGTTCTGTGAAGGTCTGTTCTGTACAGGTCTGTTCTGTGCAGGTCTGTTTTGTGCAGGTCTGTTCTGTGCTGGTCTGTTCTATGCAGGTCTATTCTGTGCAAGCCTGTTCTCTGTAGGTCTGTTCTGCACCAGTTTCTGTCTGTTCCACATCTGTTTCTGCTTTTTGAGTGTATGGTCGAGTGTATTATTACCTTACTTTCATAAACGACATGATTTCTGTGCAAGTTTATATTTATTAGCTTCTCTATTACATATTATTCCTTCTTACTGAAGCTGTAACCAAGCCGTGGTAGCTCCAGGGCTGAATACTCGCCTTAGAGTTCACGGTGCGTGAGCGGCTCAATCAATCTGCAATCTCATATGCTAATTTACTATGTGCTCGTTGATAAAATAAGACTTGTGTTGGCGTCGGGGTGTGTGTAAGCTATGGCCTTATTTATGGTGTAATTGATAAAATACGACACAATTCTGGACTGCTCCTGAAGTGCTACTGTCTGTGCTGTTTCGCTTCTTTCACCTGGTTCAGTAACTGCAACATAACTTATATAAGACACATATGGATATATCGCTGATACGGACAAAGATAAAACTGTCAGTCACAGTTTTCCAGTTACTAAGTTTTGGCTTCTGCAACCTCTACCCACCTAACTGTCGATGCTCTCTTTTGTTTTCCGCTTATCTTACGTACTTATCTTTCTTCGTAAATGACTGACTAAGAGTTAGCAGCGGAATTTATAGCTAGTACCTTTATTTTCACTATCAGTCATTTAAGCTATTGCTAGCAAAAATTTTGAACGTCGTCTAATACCTTTTCGCCAATACCTTATGGTTTTAACTTTGCAGGATGGCCGAAGTTACGACTCGCTGCCGGAAATACCCGAGTAATGCCGAGCGTGCCGGTACCGCCCTGTCGCGGCGGGACATTACGGTCACTTCAGCTTCACTTCGTATCAAGCGTCAGCGCGTGCAACTTGTCTCATTAATAACTTCAATATTGCAAATTTGAGTAATTAAATGTATTGAAGCATAAAGTAACAGTTTATTTTACACAGCATTGAATAAAAATGATTCTATTCTATTTGAAAAAAGGAGATCCATTCTTAATAGTATATATGTTAACTGCTTGCATTATTTATATTATTTTTTGACGTGTTAGAGCCACACCGCATTGTAATGGCAACAGCATACTAGCATAGAATACCAGTAATAGCATTAGCTGGGTAGTGACGGTATAAGGGAATGTGCATGCAAGGCTCCTTCATCCAGCTGTCAAAGGCAATATGCAATGTGGACCGGGCGTACGACGTTCATGCATCCAGCTGCCACAGGTTATATGGGACGTGGATTGGGCTCGTCGAAATACTTAGACGGAATCTCTCGCGCAAGGTGAATACTGCATACTGCACAAACTGATACACCCTCAATTTTACCACGCCACCATCGATATTAAAACTCCGCTAGAGTGATGCGACCTCTCGCTCACTCTCAATACATCCGGTATTTAATAGACGTGCTGATATATTTAATAGTTAATAAGCAAAATTTTTTAGTTTTTAAGTAAATTAAGTTACATACAATGCTTAAAAAATAAAGAATTTAGAATAAAACACTAACATATATTAAGAAATGTTATTACCTACTAAATCATAAAATACAAAACAATATAATATATTATTTACATTACTGAGATATCGAGTTCGTAAGATTGTTGTTTTTGTTGTTTTTTTTAATATGCAATCCATTTCTTTTCTCGCTGTTAAGGTATCAAGAACAGGTAAACATGCGATGTATTTTTAGTTTGACAACTTTGGTATTGAACATTTCAACAACGAACTCCGTGAATGACCGCATAAATAAAGCTAAAATTTACTTCATGAAAACTATGTCAGACGTATTCATCAAAGAACTTCAATTAAAATAACAAAGTGCATTGACAAAAATCATCTGTACTAGAAGTAATTATAGTTATAATATTCATTACAAAAGAGAAAAGAAATCTGAAAACATATCACAAATACCACAGCAGTGAATTCATTTGGATAATTGTAGGACCTATTACATCTTCTTTAATGTGTTTGATTTTTCTGCTCCGGCTACTTGGTCACTTTTTAAAATATTCTGTGTTGTAGCCTTCATTCGTTCTTATTTTCTTTCTCGGCGATGTTGCGCAAATAGCCATCTGTAAAAATTTTAAAATTATTTATATGAAACAAATTAATTTACAATTTAATTTACTACATTTCCTTTTAAATTTGAAATGTATATGAGTAATAAAGTAAAGTTACAGCCTATATACATACGTCCCACAGCTAAGCATAGGCCTTTCCTCACGAGGTTTTCCTTCATCGTTGAGCAAGTGGTAAAAACTACTACCAATACTCATTATGTAATTGAGTATAATATGTTTGTACCAAAAATTAGTAAATAAAGATTTTTTTTTAAATAATCTAACGGTCAAGTGATCTTACAGTCCACAGTTCACCAGATGGTAAATGGCTACTGTAACTAGCGGACTTCTATAACCAACTTCAAACAATGTAGCCTACAGATGTGTTTTCATCCCCGAGGACTAAGACCAAATGCTTTACAGCCTGTAATAATAATAACTATCCATACCAATCAGACCAGAACAAAGAAGTGCACGCACTGCTTCTTTGGAGCAAAAACAGATAAGACAACTCAACGTAAACATGAAAGCGATTATTAATTTGAAATGAAGAATTCAACTCCATAAACGTGGTAGAGCCATATTGCAGCTGTATTAGTAGTATAGTTGTAGCACGAATGGGTCGGCTCGACCGGGGAAGGAACACGCTCTCACAGAATACCAGCGTAAAATGGCAGCTTGATACTGATGTGTTTCGTAAGGCCTCATTGGTAAGCGTTCGGTGGTACGTACGGTGAGGCATACGGCGTGGTGTTATGATAATCACACGCTGTTGTTACAAAGTGTCTGTTCTATGGGAAATTAGCCACTAAGCTATACGCTCCACCGCATGATTTCCACTGAGACTTTAGGGTGAAGCTACTTACATCAACATGGTTATTGCGGGAAGGGTCATAACCGCGCTAAATATATATACTGCTCCTGTGAAATTTTCTACAGTTTTGGAGTACAAAGCCGAATAGGTTGGGTCAAACATCAAGGCTGCAAGTGTTTCCACCAAACTGAATAGAGAATTCATTTTTCCTGGAATAAAATAAAATAAATTAAAATAAAATGGAAAGTAACAAAAAATATTAAAATTAAGTGATATGAGCATAGTGTGAAGAGAATAAACTGAAAAATTTTAAAGTCGTTGTTATGAATCCACTGTTCGACTATTGTCGTAAACTGCTTCTAGCATTTTCAGTTCATTTTTAGTCGACTTCTAAACAGAGGAGGTTCTGAATTCGACTGCATGTATATAACGAGATATCTACGTCAATCGTGAACAGATTTTTTTATTAAATGTATTATACTTGGGGAGTGCTTTTAGCCGGGATGGAAGATGTGATTTAGATGTGGACAGGCGTGTCGCTGCCGGGAACAAAGTCAATGGTGCCCTGACTGCGTTAGTCAAAAGGCAAGGCGTAGCGAAGAGTGCACGCCTTGCAATACATAACGCAGTGTTGGTACCGACTTTGTTATATGGCAGAGAAACCTGGGTATGCCAGAAGAAGCATAAAAGTAAGTTGAATGCAGTGGAGATGCGATCTCTTCGTAAAATGTGCGGCGTTACCATGGCCGACCGAAAGCGAAACGAAGAGATTCGCAATATGGCAGGTTTGAAAGATGACCTTATCACAAAAATTGATAAGGGCGTGCTTCGGTGGTTTGGGCACGTTGAGCGAATGAGTGAAGACCGAATGGTGAAGAAAATATATAGCGCGAAAGTTAATATTAAAAGGTGTCGAGGTAGACCGAGACTAACTTTCGAAGACCATGTGAGCAAATTGCTCGAAGAGGGTAGGGTCAAAAGTACTCGGATACCTAGACGTGCATGCATGAAGAAGATAATGAATCTGAAAGAAGCGAAAGAGGTTTGTAAGGATCGTGACACTTGGCGATCTGTTCTCTCTGGCTACCCCGTCAGGGATTGTGCGTGAAGATACTTCAGGGGTAGTTCTAAACATAAATTTGGTGGGAAAAGGGGTATGAAGTTTTTAATATGTAAAATAAGATGACGTTCACCTCTATCGGAGATTAATTAAAGCTTCCACACCGATAGATCTTAGCTCTCAACTTCGCTTCATCATCATCATCATTAATACTGCATACATACTGCTGGACATAGGTCTCTGCCAAAGAACGCCACTTAACCCAGTCGTTCGAAATTTCACTTACAACAAGCTTATAAGAAGCAAGCAGCTGAGAAAGACAATTATAGGAAACTTACCCATCTCCTCACTTAAAACTAATTTAGAAGCCATCGACCTCAGCGATGTAAATGTTGTAGCATTTAGTATCTCTACGATCGGTACTGTAATAAATAGATGAATGGATAAATTATATATTAAGGAAACACCGTTACATTAAAATTAAACATACTGCATAAATATAATACAAAGGAAACAAATAAAACAAATTATTAACTAAATAGATTATAGTCATATAGTATATAATAGAAAATTAAAACCTAATCCAAACTCAATGAGGATTGTAAGATAATAGTACCTAAAGGTTAAATCATCTTTTTAAAGCCCACCACAAGTCCACTCTTGAACATAGAACTCCCTCTAGGAATGCAAAAAACAGGGTAGGGACCCTTGTGTCCATCAACTTTCTGTTTCTGCATGTCCTTCCTGGTCGTCACTCTATCTAGTGGGAATCTATCCTACACTTCACACAAGGGAGCTACTTGAGAACATTTTTCCATATCGGTTGTTGGTTTTTCGATTACTTTTCAGAGAAAAAAAAAAAGAACAAAGGTCTACGACGAACCATCTGTAACGTAAAACTTACAGACTTCTATATGGATTTCGAAAATCATTTCAGTCAGTCATTTACTAAATTTTCTGACAGTTTTTTCCATAAACGTAATTCTGCTAATATTTTTGTTAACAATGTGTGATTCCGTATGTGTAAACAGGAAATGGATTTTTGTACTTAACATATTAAGCAAAAAATCAGTAGAAGGTATAGTTTGTTACTATGGAATAAACTAAACGTATGCGGCAATAGTTTCATGAGAGTACATACATACATACATATATACATACAATACATACATACTTTAAGCCGCCAAAAGAAATTAGTCAGTTTTATCATCCGTCAAGTGTAACATCCCTTTACAACATGCAGGAGTGTACAAGCTTGATTGTGAATGTGGGAGACCACATTCACAATCAAGCTTCAGAAACGAATGTTCTTTGTAAAAGAGATTTTACAAAGAACATTCGTTACAGGAAATCAGCACTCTGTGAACATATTCAAGATATTGCCTTCATTTATTACATGAGATTTGATAAACTACAAATCTTTGCAAAAGAACATAGATTCCTACCAAGAATAATTTGGGAGGCTTTAGAAATTAAAAAATGCACATCCAAATTTCAATAGAGAATATGTATGAGTGCAACTATCTGCTGGTGCTCCTATCATACAATTATAAAATTTAATCTAGTAGCGAGACTTTGAGATACTATGATACTATGATAATATAAGACTAAAAATTACACTTCTAAACTTTTTGATTCAAATTTCATAAAGAACATTTGTATAATATAAAAGTGTATCCTTGGCCATAGTAGTATAACGCATACAAGCTCGTCAATTAAGGAAAATCTTATCACACAATTTCTCAGGCTGTCATTCAAAGTTACCTATATTATCGCATTCTTCAACATTTATTCTACTCTCATGCTTCATCTGTCACACCTAAATTTCACTACCATACATTAAGTTAGGGACTAACACAGCATTATACATTGAAATACGTGCCTTTTTTGATACATTCTAAATTCCTACAATAGAGTGAACAATAAAGGATATATAGGAAAATACATTTGCCATTTGCTCAACTAACTCCCTTTCTAGCCTTATATCATATATAAGTTTTACTTTCTTCTCCTTCAAAAATCATCACTTTCGTCTTACTTGCATATTTAAGGGTTCTTGCATTAACTAAGAATTTATTCTTTTACTTATAAATTTTCATAATGCTTGTCGAGATACTATAAAGAAACTATCACGTAGATCTGTAAATGAAAAAAGAATGTTAAGGAAGAAAGTAATTAGTAATTTTTGAGCCGCATATGGTTCGTGGTAGCATTGCCTTCGATATATTATTATATAATTACGTAGTTTCCTTTTTAATAAGTGTCCGGACTAACCTTAGCATAATGCGCTAAGACGAAAGAAATTTACCGTAAAATCTACAAAAAATAACCTAATATCTAATAATTCCTTTAGTCCTAAAAGTGGCTCAATAAGTTTAAATATTGTAAAAGTTTAGTTAAAGGCACTATAGGTCTTTAGTTATATTAATATTAATCCATGTTAATATCTTTATACATGACTGTTTGTTGCCTTAAATAAATTTAAAAAAAAATTACAACTGTTATTAAAATTTCGCCTAGAGGTATTAATTCTAGTACAAGAAACCTTAATTCTAGGTTAATATATTACTGTTTAACTAACAAAAGATAATGATATTTTTCATAGATTAATGATAAGTCAGAGCGTGCGATGACTTATCATTAATCTATGGATATTTTTATATTGCCAGTCCTCGGGGATTATCAAAGATAAATATGTTGTTTTTATTTTCGTTGAACTGATAAATATAAATACTTCCGTAACCAATTTTTAATTAAGTAAGTTACCATTAAACCTCTGGTAACTTTCTTAATTAGGTCTAAGTAGCACTTAGTAAATGTTTGCAGCGTAGTATTTCGCGATGTTAATTATAAATCTGAAATAAGTTTAATTTTTAACTTACATACCCATGAACATTTCAAAATCGGTTCTGACAAAAGCAATTAGCACAGAACCAGCCAACTTGCTGACTATAGAAATAAGACATAACATTGAGTCATGGAAGCCCCATCGCTTGCTAAACACACTGATCGAGAATAAGGCACCTGAAAAAATTAAATACGATAAACTTCTAGGTATACACCTAAAACTTGAGAAGATAATGAAGTCAAATTCAGACAGTAGTAGAGACAAAATCAGTTTAAAGGTTTTATTTTGGTTGTATTTTTCCATAGTTGGAAGGCAGTTTTATATGATTTTTGGTTGCTATCAGGAAGGTGTTGCTGCACATATAATGTTTGAGTTCTTCTTTCGAGACCCACGGGCCGATGAGGAGTATTGGATATTCTAATACTGCCACTACACGGTTAAAATATTAAAATCATAATATAATTGTCGGAGCGTCTATAAAATACCCGGTTGGATCGAGGTAGAATGGAGGGTATATCGAGAAACCCCCTCTTGTGTCTGTAGTATAAAGTTCACTGTAGGTGCCGTGCAAGGGAGATTCCGCTTAAGTCATTCTACGAGTGTGGTCATTCGACTAGTTCTAAGATAGTGGCATGGTTCCTTTCGTTGTTGTAATTCTTCTAGTGCAGGCAAGGAGAATTGGTGTTGCTGAGAGGCTGCCCTGTGTTACATTGAGATAAGTAGTGTTGCTGTTGGTTTACATATTTTGGTGTTATCATGTAATTACGTACCTCACGTTACACTGGTGTGTGATTGTGGCGGAGACGCGTTACGGTGTGGTCGAACTGTAATTTCACTATACCGAATGTATAGTGCGTTACGTTGTCTTATTACTGATAATGATAAATTGCGTAAGCAAGAGAGCAAGTTGAATATCCGCTCTCACACTTTTATTATTTTTAACAGTTAACGCTATCCTTATGTATCTCCAAGATCAAAATTCTGTTGTAAATATCCGACATAATAATATGTCGGAAATACATCAGGAGATTAATTGTAGAAACAAAAAAGTGTGAGAGGGGATGTTCAACTTGCTCTCTTGCTTACGCAATTAATAATTTTCAGCAATAAAACAGCGTACTGCACTTTACATTCAGTATAGAGCATTTACAGTTAGATCATACCATAATATGTCCCCGTCACAATCATACAGTTGGTAGTGTAACGTAAGGAACGTAATTACATGATAATACATCATAATATACATAAACAATCCAACAGCAACACTACCCATCTCAATGTAACACAGAGCATTCTCTCCGCAACACGATCTTCCTTGCCTGCACTACAATAATGTCTACAACAGACAGAGCCACAAAACTGTCATTCCACAAGTCTTATCACTCGTAGAATGACTAAGGCGGAATATCCCGTGCACACCACCTATAGTTAACTTTATAGTGCATAAACGAGTCGGGTTTTCCCAATCAACCCTCAATTCTACCCCGCCACCATCAATATGACACACCGCTGGAGTGCCACAGCCTCTCGCTCACTCCCGATGCATCCGATATTTAATAGACGCACCGTCAAATATTAAAATATCATAGGTGAATGCATATTTTACACTACCTATTTCGCAACGAATCTTATTTAAAGTTAAAATTAATAAGAGGGCTGGTTCTTTTCTCGCTCAAAGGCTAAGTATAGCCATTCAGCGGGGAAACAGCCAGCGTTCTTGGCACGATACCGCGGGGAGTAGTACTGTATGATAATTAAGTTACTAGGATAAGTTTTTTTTTATTATAGTTTTTAAGATAGTATATAATAAAATATTGTATATCTTAAATAAATATTTACGGTAATGAAAATTTTAAAATTTGTTTTAACTTACCTAATGAATGTGTGATGATACTGTAAGTGGAATAAATGCTGTATTTTACTGCATCCCATTTCAATCGGTATCTTACATACATGTATGTTGTTATTCTTTCACCTGATATAGCAAGTTTTATATTTGTTAGTAACAGTTTTATAACAATAATTAAAATTTTTAGCTCTATTTCCAAACACAGTTTTTTTTTTATTAACAATATGAAAAAAATACAAGAAAGTATATATCATCATTAATTTTAGTATATTATGATTTGGCTTGTCTTGATACGGTGGCGTAAGCAACACGTTTGTTATTACTATTTCTAAAAAACATTATCAATTAAGGTTAATCGAACCGTAGTAGTTTAACGAGCAACCCGGGTTCGATCCCCGCCTGGACTAATGAAATTGTTATTTGCAATTTTCATTGCTGATTTACTGCGTGCTCTGCGATGAGGCTAAGCCTTTTGAGGAAACCTGAATGTCTGAGATTTAAAAAAAATATTTTACGAGAGAAGCCCACCAACATGCGTGGTGTAAACTCTGTCCTCTGTCCTTGCCCTAAAACCCTTTCAGTAATGAGAGGAGGTTTGTGTCTAAGAGTGGGACATATGGGCTGTAATTTTACTTAAGATCAATCAATTTAGATATAAAATATAAAGGTAATTTCAGATAAATAGGTACAATTCGGTATAGTTGAATATCCTTATGGTAGTTTATCGATAGTATTTAGACAGTAATAAAATATAATTCCTTCAAAGTTGGAAACAAAACCAAAACTGTTCCATGGTATTTGACACGTCATTCTTTTATTTCTTCATTGCAGCCCATCCAAAGTCTATTGCTGTTATCTTTTTTTTTATAGTATAAGGGTGACAAACGAGCACACAGTCCACCTGATGGTTAGTGGTTGCTGTGGCCCATAGACATCTACATCTATCCTCTATTACAAATCAATATGTAGATGTGTTGTCACCCGTGAGATGGAATGCCTCATTTCCAGCAAAAAGGGCCTCCGGCCACCTGCACTCACCAAGCGAAACGCAGAGGTAAACCTCTACTTCACGCTGGTTTTCTGTGAGGTCGTGGTACCACCCCGGTTTGAGCCGGCCCATCCATGCGATAGCAAAAGCTGCCGCGTGGCTCTACCACTGTTAAAAATCTCCCAGAGAGGATATTTTTCCTTAGTTACTACGCTTGGTAGGCGGTTATGGAATTGAAAACTGTAAAATGCGCAACAAAATACATACCGTACGCAACGATATTTAAGTAAATTACTGCTTTAAAGTTAGTAGTAGTTATATTAATACAAAATATCAATGTCAAAGTTAATAAAGAAAGAGGAAAAACGATAATTCTTGGGTAAAAAAGAATTAGTAAGCTTACAGTACATTCGCCATAAAGTTCAATTTTGCGTTAGAGTGTGTTACTAAGACGACTTTTTGTCCTCAGTTTCAAAATACGACTAGTACACCGACTAATACAATTAATTACATTTTCTTTATCACTGTGGTTAGCTGAGAGAAAGATTTGAAAAGAGAATAAAATTGGAAGTTCAGTAAAACGCCAACACTTATTAAGTTATCCAGACTACAATACTAACTGAAGTTTGAAGACGAAAAATATAATAAATGTACATTTGTCACACACAAAGGCGATAAAGATAATTTTTTTTTATTTAAATAGGTTGCTAAAGCGTAGTGTACACATGCATTTGAGGAACTTCATAGGAATGTCATTAAAAATGTTTAGATAATTATGTCAACAATACATCCAAATATGACCTCCCTTATTATTGTCACTTACCATGATTTGGCCCATAAACAATGGCGACAGTCAAAAGTGTTAACACAATTTTTTTTCTAATATTTCCTTTTCGGTTCTTGAAAGCTACCATAACGGTTTCTTTGATTAATGAAGAAAGGTCTGATATTGTTACTGCTTTGACCTGTAAAATTAAATAATATCCCCATGAAACACCACAACGATTGCTAACAAAACATAAATGAATACAAATATATCAAAAGTTTAAACCAAAAGTATACCGAAACCTTAACGAATTTTGAAAAGTGGTTTATAAATAGTGATTTAGTCACAAAAATCTACCTAATATTAAATACATAACATGCCAATCAAATTATAATAAAAATAATGTGTTAATTCACCTTTTCATTTTCGCCTACACCGGGCTTAGTTTTCGTTTTTAAATAAAAGAACCCATAGCAGAGTGTCAACAAATATATTGAACCAGAAATCGCAAATATCCCGTAGTAACCTAATAACTTTAAAAGAATTCCACTAAGTGCTGTACCAATGGGAATACCAGCAGTCATGCACAAATTGACAAGACCAACCCTGAAAGTCCTAGATTCTTCACTTGTAATATCACTTATATAACTAAACACTCCTAAATATACCATAACCCAACCACCTGTTATTGCTGGAAAGAAAGCCTCAAGAAACATGGTGACTTCGACTGACACTTCATAAAAAAACACCGTGCTCATGATATTACTAACACATACAAGAAATTCGCCGAAAATTGGTAATAGTATACACAATTTTCGATTACCAGTTCTATCACTCCATGCACCCATAAATATGACTAATAAAGTCGGTATTGCAGTTTGTATAATGCTTTTCCATGCTTCTATAGATGAAATGATTTTCTGTACTTCTCCTTCGTAATTAGTTAGGTTACCCTTTCGTAGAATTAAGGAATCACAAATTTCATCACCAAAATTTAATTTTACACGGCACGTCTTATCTAAATTTAAGTTTTGGATTGCAAGTCTCGCTAACATCGATGGAATGATGAGGCCAGCCATGATCGGCTCGACGGAAATGTTTGATTTTATAAAACATAATTTTTCAAAGAAGCTTTTGCTTTCAAATTCTCTTTTATGTAGTTTATTTTCGTTTAAAGGCTCTTCTTCTGGATTTTTATTATTTTTTTCTTTAGATTCGGTCATATTTAAATATTTTAAGAGCAGTAAAAGCTTCTACTACACAAGAAATACTTTGTAATTAACAATTTCTGAGGTAACAATTTATCACTTCAAATAAGAAGCCTGTTAGAAAAACAAAACGAAACGTTGCAGTAAATTTTATATACAGAATGTTGCTTTTCTAAAAATTGAAGCCAATGGATTTTTATGGTTTTTAAGGTTTGTTAAGGTATTATGTCGATAAATTAAAAAAAAAAGTTATCAGTTCATTTCGGGGGCTTGCAGAAAAATATCTGAAAACATTTAGTTTTCGGATATTTTTGCGCAAAGACAATATGTTGAAAAGCCTCATATTTTGATTACATCAAGTAAATATTTATTCTTGTTGAAAAGCACTTAAAAGTCTCTCATATAGTTCTACTTCTGTTGTTCTGTAAATCTGATACTTTGCGTCATTACAAACTTTAGTTGACGATCATTTTTAAAATAAGCTTTTTCAAGCCAAAGATATACCAGTGTGACATGTGTTACATATACACGAGTTGTGAAACCCACACATACATGTACATCAAACGTGAAAGTTACGCTTCTCATGTTTTTAATAAAACTATAGCTTGATGTCCTAAACTCTCCCTATAGTAAACCAATTGGTTCGCTACATCGTTCATCATGCATACAGGAAAGGAGTGCAATTAGTTGCCAGCATCTGTCTTTTCATCCGATTACAGGGTGAGTGTCTTCAAGGCTAATATTTAAAAAAAAACATATTTTACTTCTAAACAAAATTGGGTTCTATGAGTTTTATCGTATTTAATCTTGCAAAAAAATTGCGACTTGCTATATGAAGTTCAAGGCAAAATAAGTCTAAAGGAGGTGTCAGAAGGAGTAGAAACTGAGTTTAGGTTTTGGTCCGACAATTGTGCGGGGAAAAACTGCAACAGGAAAATGTTTGCTACGTAGGTATATCACATTAGCGAAAAAATACAATGTCACTATGAAATACACGTTTTAATCATTTAAAATTAAAAATTTTGTATAGCCGACTTCAATATAAGTTGTTAAGATGAACTCAAAAACTATTGGTCTGACCTTGATCAAATTCATAAGGGACCACACCAGAAGTACCAGCTTTCAAATAAAAAAAGAATCATCGAAATCGGTTCACCCAGTACAAACATAACCACATAAAAAAAACATACAGTCGAATTGAGTACCGTCTCCTTTTTGGAAGTCAGCACAAATATGGCCATGGTCGCGGTAAGCTACAGTCGTCGCGAAATTTGATATTACCTATCGAATTCCATACTTCACATTTAAGTTCACATATTTCCGCGATATTTCTTACGTGTAACATATTCTAGTTTGAACCTGAGAATTATAAGCTATTTTTTCAGATAAGATTGATGAAGTTCAGTCTCTTGAATGCCTTGAAAATTTTCTGCAATTTTGAATCTTGACTATCTGATTGATAAAAATTTCAGCTTATGTACGTTCCACTGCTGGGCACAGGTCTCCTCTCGTTTTGGAAGATAAAGAGAAATTAGAACACCGCACAGCTCCAGCGCGTGTTGGTGGATTTCACATTACTTCAAAATATATTTATGTAGTTTTCCCCACGATGTTTTCCAAGCAACGTCGAAGGTACCTACTCTCATACGTTCCTATCGACGGTTTGCGATCGCCAAAAAAAGAGGGAATTTTTCATAAAACATAAACATTTTTCATAATAAATTCATAAAACATGAAACAGACTGTAGATAGATAATTTATCACTATTATAACACAAGTAAACTAATTAATATTTACACAGTGTGTTAACGTTCCTTCCATATCGACTATGTCGAGATAAAGATTCAACAAAACATCATTATGAATTATTACACTACTCAAATGCACTACCGCAACGCTTGAACAAGGATTATTGTTATATTTGTAGATCTTTAGTTATTAATTGATAAGCTATTACAATTCAGTTCTTTAAAAGCTATTTTTCTGCTCAATAAATCTCTACATATTATATACAGTATAAAACAAAGTCGCTTCCCGCCGTTTTGTACTCTTAAATCTTTTAAACTACGCAACGGATTTTTATGTGGTTCCCATCTATAGACAGAATGGTTAGGGAAAGGTTTATATGTAGAATATATGTATATTATTTATTATATAATTGTTCTGCCCGTGTGTATGTGACTGAAATTCGTCTAAAAAGCTGGACCGATTTTGATTAAATTTTGTTTGTGTGAATTAAACTGATTAGAGATTCACAGCCGAACCCGGTAGGTGTAGTTATTGTCGAGACCCAGAAATCAACCGTGCGAAGCCGGAGCGGATAGCTACTTTATTATACACGTAGAATGGAAACTGGGAAGAACTGGGAAATATCTTAATTTTCTTTATTGTATGCATTTTTATTGGATATTCCAAAACCGCCATTATGAGGTATCACTTTCAAAAGTACTCGTATTAAGATCAAACCATTCAATATACACAACAAAGAGCTTATATAAGTTTAGGTCACTCTTTATGTGAGTGTGAATGTGTCATTCTAACGTAGTGAGATTCTACCGGTTGTAAATATTTAATGTGGTCTCATACCCTGTACTTGACTTCTTCTCTTAATTTACGAGAGTGATTATTGTGCTCATCATGATTACTTGATGGTAAATGACTACCGCCGCCCACGAACAACTGCAACACCAGGGGAACCAGGGGAATTGCAGATGGGTTGCCGGCCTTGTCGTCTGTATAATGCATGCATTATACACACGATATTTCATATGCACTATAGATTGAGGAATAAATTGTTTCAAGGAATTGATGTGAAGTCCACCAAAAGCCATACATTTCTCCACAAACTTCTTAAAAATGAGGGGAAGCCTGAGTCCGGTAGTGGAACGTATATAATATGTTTTTTTTTATCCAATGCAACACGATAATAATTGATAATTTAATAATTCTTTTATAGCATAAGCGTGACCAATGAGCATACAGTTCACCTGATGGTAAGTGGATGCTAAGGTCCATGGACATCTACATCTATCCTCAATTAAGTAACAAAATGCAGTTTCCTTGCTACCCCTGATAAAATGTCTCGCTTTCCAGTAAAAAGGGCCTCTGATTCTCTGCATTCACCATACGAAACACAGCAGAATTAAGCTGCTATTTTACGCTGGTATTCTGTGAGAACATAATCCTTCCCAGGTTGAGCTTACCCATTCGTTCTACAACCATAATATAGCTGCAGCATGGCCCTACCACTTATAACATGGAAAAGAAAACATTTTATTTATTTTATGTCTTATTATATAATTTGCCTGATGAATAATATTTTATTGTATGCTTAATTTTTTAACTACATGTGTTGCAATTTTATATTTTATATGGTTTTATATATTGCACTGCATTATTAAGCACAAAGCGCGTAGGTAAAAATATATAAATCAAAATTCCAACGTTTTTTCGCATGAAATCGTATCTATCAATCATATTGAACATATAAATGATATAAAAACACATTTTCAGAAAGATACAATTGTTTAACTTATTTTTTTTTAATCGATTAATAGCTATTTTCACATAAAAACGTGGTGGTAGTGGCTTATGGTGTAGATTAACTTTTGAAAATATCAATTGTTCAACTAAATCTATTTTTTAATCTCTTAATATTGTGACCTGAAGGTGTACTTCGGTGAATGCTACTGGAACTCCTCGAAGAGTAGACCTAGGTGTGCCGAATTTGGCCTCGTTTTGTAAGTTATGATGAGACCTTACCTCCGGACTTGATAGAGTGACCAGAAGGTGTACTTCGGTTAATCCTACTGGAACTCTTTGACGAAAAAAAAATGTAAACTACAGTTTACATTTTTTTTTAATTTTTTCACGATCATTTTCACATAACATTATAAGTCGTGCACTTTTGGATTTTCCAAGCTTTTTTTTAATTGAAGTTTGACGTAAAATTATTAGTATAGTAATAATTATAAATATAACTAATAATTAAACTGCTTTAAAAATTTATGTATAATCATGTTATACGTAATTTTTTTAATGCGTTTAAGGCATGCACAATTGGATTTTTTTTTTGGAGAGGGGGCACACGAGCATGCGGCTCACCTGATAGTAAGTGACTACCGCCGCCCACGAACAACTGCAACGCGTTGCCGGCATTTTAAAAAGGAATAGGCTCTTTTATTGAAGGTCCCTAAGTCGTATCGGTAGTGTGGATAGCATTGGGAGTTCTGCCGCGATGTGCGTTCATGAAATTTGGCGGCTGGGATTAATCCGAACAATTCCTTTAGAGCACTCCCCGTGGTAAATGGGAAAGAAAATGCAAAGGGAAGCAACATCTCTTCGCAGTGCCAATGAATCGAGCCGATCGGAAAGGACTCGGTCGTCGACGATTCGAGCCGCTCTGCGCTGGATGCGGTCAAGGGAAAGAGCTGGCACTGGGGAGCCCCTACCCAGAGATGGGAACAGTATTCCATGTGAGGCCGAACCTGAAGAACCGAACCAATACTTTAGTTTTTATATCAGTACGAGATAATATAAATTGGTTAGTGACGTAGAAATACTAATTCCGTCGGCCTATTCACAACAGAATCAAGTTCTGAATCAATCGAGTTTTATTCGAACTTAAGGTAATTTTTAATTCCGCATTCCTTAAACCGTAGTGTGCTCACTATCAAATTGCATTTCAAATAAGAATTATCAAAACGGAAGTCTTCAGCTATTCGCTGCTAGATGGCGCTCGTAATTGCAAGCGACTAGATTAGTTTTTTAGTTTTTATATTCCTAGAAGAGAATTACTAATTTATTTAAAATGATCTCCGGATAAATCATTCGAATCGATCGTGTTTCTCGATTTGAATTGGTTCGGGAGTTAGCTTTAAAATCAGGTTACAAATAACTTCAGTTTGGATCTAATTTGAAATTGATTTCGGGAGTAAGTCAAATTTCATATAAAATTGCGTGTTAAAAAACCGTGGGAAAGAAACCTATGTCAGAGATGTATGTCTGAGAAATAG